GGCTATATCCTGACACTGCTACTTTGACTGAATACTAGTTTTTCATCTGCTCCCTTCTCCAGTTCCTTTAAGAGTCTTTCGGCTTCTTCCGGCGTTATGTCCTTTATGTCGTACATGGCCCACCGTCCACCAACTGCCAGTCCTCGGCTTCTAGCTCCAGCAGGTCGGGGCTGAAGAATTCTAACTTTGGCCCGTCTTCGCCCCCGTAAGTGCACATTAACAAACGGTCCTCTATCCATGAAAAAGCCAGACTGCCAGGCCTTCACTTCCGTCCGAATTTAGGAGTCTGTATGGAACTCCACCCAAGTCCGCCGATTGACGCTCTCCCCTTTCCTTAGTTCCTTGAGTGCTTCACCAAAAGTCATACCCTTCACCTTCCTGCTTTCATTTCTCCGGGGATTGGTTCAATTGCGATTATCCCGTGCCTTATGCCCCTGGAAAATCCCTACCCCGTGCTTGTAGGAGGAAATTCTCCCCGCTCCCAAGTCAGCACGGCGTACCGGCTGGTTCTTAGCCCGATACATGCGCTGGTATTTATCTGCCGTTCTCTGCGCTATTTTCGAAAGGATAATTTTCACAACTTTTCTCCTTTAATAGGTATTCCCCGCTGCTGAGGAAGAGAGAGAAATCCGTCACTGTTTCCCGATGTTTCCAATGTCGGGCAGTCCCCCAAAACTGCCCGACATTACCGACTAGACCCTGTGCTTCATATGCGATGCCTCCAATTCGGATAATGCACTTGCCGTCTGCTGCCCCTGTATCGGCTGAACCAAACCTTCTGCAACGAGGGGCCGCAAAAGGCGCTTGCCGCAGTAAAGGAAGTCGTCTCGCCGATAACGGGCTAGCAGAGTCCGGCAATCCATGCACAGGTCAGTTTCCCGTTGAATGACTCGGCCCATAGGGTGACTCCTTGTTCTAATGTCCGATTTTTGCGGATTGTTGCCCATTATGTTTCGTGTTATTCGTTACCGCCGGGAGTCAGGAAAACAACTAGCAGTCTGTCCGAGAAACGCCCTTAGCGAGCGGGTGGGGTATGATGATATGAGCCTTGAGTGAGGGTAAGCGATCAATGAGCAAAACCTACCTTCCCTATGACCCAGAGCAGCAGTTGCTGCTGCCAGCGGCCCTGCAGGAGTGGCTGCCGGAGGAGCACCTGGCCTACTTCATTTCCGACGTGGTGGACCAGTTGGATCTGGCGGAGATCACGGAGCGCTATGAACAGGAGAGCCGGGGCGGGCCGCCCTACCATCCCCGGATGATGGTGAAGGTGCTGCTGTATAGCTACTGCACCGGGGTGGCATCGTCCCGGCGCATGGCCCAGCGTCTCCACGAGGACATCGCCTTCCGGGTGCTGGCGGCCAACAACACCCCGGACTTCCGCACCATCTCGGACTTCCGCAAGGACCACCTGGCAGCCCTGTCGGGGCTGTTCCTACAGGTCCTGGAACTGTGCCAGCAGGCCGGCCTGGTGAAGCTGGGGCACGTGGCGCTGGACGGTACCAAGGTCCGGGCCAACGCATCGAAGCACCAGGCGATGAGCTACGGGCGGATGAAGGAGAAGGAGGCCCAGTTGCAGGGGGAGGTTGATGAGTTGCTGCGGAGGGCCCAGGAGGTAGACGAGGGGGAGGACCGGCGGTACGGACGGGACAAACGGGGCGACGAACTGCCGGAGGAGTTGTCCTTCCGGGAGGGCCGGTTGCGGAAGATACGGGAGGCCAAGGCGGCGCTGGAGGCCAAGGCTCTTGCGGAGGCGGAGCAGGCGCGGAGCAGGCCGAAGCCGAGGGTAAGCAGCACCCAGGCACACCCGCCGACAAGGCACAGCGGAACTTCACCGATCCGGACTCCAGGATCATGCCCGGGCCAGGGGGACGGGACTTCCAGCAGTCCTACAACTGCCAGGCGGTGGTGGACCATGAGCATCAGGTGATTGTGGCGGCCCGGGCTACCAACCAGCCCTCGGACAAGCAGCAGGCCGTGAGCATGATAGAGGAGACCATCAACAACGTGGGCGCGGTGCCGAAAGAAGTATCCGCCGACGCTGGGTATTACTCGGCGAAAGCGGTGGAGGAACTCTGCATCCTGGGAGTGGACCCCTTTGTGGCGCCGGAGAAGACCCGCCACGGCTGGGTGCCGCCACCGGCGCCCCGTGGCCGCATACCCAGGGATCTCTCTCCCAGAGACCGGATGCGCCGCAAGCTGCAGACCAAACGGGGCCGACAGCGCTACGCCCTCAGGATGGAGACGGTGGAACCGGTCTTCGGCCAGATCAAGCAGTGCCGGGCTTCCGGCAGTCCTGTTGCGGGACTGGAGAAGGTCAACGGAGAGTGGTCGCTCATCTGCACCGGCCACAATCTGCTGAAGTTGTTCCGGTTCGGCGCCGGTTTCCCCGCCAAAGGGGGGGAACCGGGTCCCGCGCCAGCCAGCGGGACTACTTCCCTGTTGGCCAGCGTCAAGTCATCCTTGAACCTGCCGCCATTCACCAACCTGCGCCGTCCCCCGATGGCCGCCTCAAGATAATCCCCGGACAGCCTGCTAGTATTACAACGTCAGTTCAGGGAGGGATGTGGGGTGATGCCCGCATGGCGGCGCGGCGCTTGGCATGGGAGCGACTGGCCCGTTCGTTACTTTCCTGCGTATCCTCCAGCCACCGCAGCAGTCTCAGCCGGCCCGAACCGTTCCCGGGGCAGCATCTCCCGCACCACCCGGTAGACCTGCGGTCTCGTGATCCGGGGCATCTTTTTCCCCCCCAAGCCTGTTGCAGGCTCAGCAGAAAAGCTCCGCCCAGCAGACACAGGGCCACGTGGTGATGCCAGCCCGCCCAGGTGCGGGTCTCGTACTCGTCCAGGCCCACGTCGCTCTTCTCCGTCTCGAACTCCGTTTCTATACGCCACCGGGAACCTCCCACGTAGGCCAGGGTCTCCAACGGGGTATCCTCCGTAGCATTGGACAGGTAGTAGCGGGGTTCGCTGCCGTCCAGGTTCCGGCGGTAGACGGCCCAGTGGATTTCGCCGGGCTTCCGCCTGCTGGTCGGCCGCACCCGCTGGGCGCTGAACAGGTAGCTGCGGGGGCCCTGGCTTCCCTCGGCCACCGTAATCTCCCGCCAGGCACCCTCCGGCAATTCGCGCTGCGCTCCTCCATGGTCCGCCGCTGTCCGGCCACGAGCCTGGGCTTGGGAGGCCCACCCCGTCCCCGGTAGACCGGAGTGGTCCACTCCGGTTCCTCCGGCCACACCATAAAGCCGCCGGCACGTCCAGACGTAGCGCATTCCCAAGGCTGCCCAACCCGTCGCGGAAGGACGGCGACATGCCGAAGGCCGTCGTCTGCCGCAACCCACCCGGCCCTGAGATGGCCCACTCCAGGCCCGCCGCAGCGTCTCCAGCGCCAACTCCGTCTTCGACCGGTAGCCCCTCCGCTCCTCCGGAACCCCGCCTCGGCACAGCGTTCCGGATCCTTGGTCCAGCTGCTCCGGCAAATACAGCCGCTTGTCCACCAGACGCCCGTCCCAACGGGCCTGACATAGGCCAGGAACATCCCAGCCTGGCAGTTGGCCACCTTCCCCAGCTCCCGCAGTACTGACGGGCCACTCCCGCCGACTTCCGCCCCTGCTTGGGAAAGTCGCTGCCGTCCAGCACCCACACCCCTTCCGGATGCTCCAGCCGGGTTCCCAGGTACTCCTGCAGCCGTCCCTATGATCGCCTCATCATCCCAGGGAGAATCGGTGAGAAACCGCTGCATCCCCCTGGCTGACCCCGGAACCGTCTCCGACAGGTTCTCAGCGTTGCGCCGCTCCCCAGACTGTACCAGCAGGGCCTGGAGATAATGACCGCTGTGCTCCCGCGTCTCCCGCCGGCCAAACAGCGGCGCGAAGTAGGCGTGAAACTCCTGAAAGTCCTGGTATACCTGCTCAAATGCCGCCCCATCCACTTCCCTGCCTCACCTGCCCAAGCATTCCCCAATCTCCCAGTAATCTTATCATGCCAACTGACGTTGTAATAATAGGTACAGCACTGTGAAATGTAGTGACCAACACATCCTGCCTGACCTACCCATCCCGCCCGGCGAAGTACTTGCAGAGGAACTGGAAGAACGGGGGATGACGCGAAAAGATCTGGCAACAAGAATGGGTCGTCCGGCGCAGGCAATAAACGAAATTGTCAGAGGGAAGAAAGCAGTTACCCCGGAGACGGCGTTGGGGCTTGAGCAGGCCTTGGGTATCGATGCCAGCTTCTGGATGAACCTGGAAACGACTTACTGGTTGACACTGGCGCGAAACAAGAGGGAAAACCCCTAGATTCCAAGAAACTGGTTAGTGGGAGTCTGTTGGCAAAATTTCACTGCTGCTGTGCGTCCGCTTCGCTTCAGAAACCATCGAGAAGAAACAATCCGAAATGAAAATGGAGTTCAGACTGCTCTGTTCTGATGAATACGCAATCAATCCGTGGCAAACTGCGTGGCGATTCGGAACTGGGTTATTCACAAACCGTTGACGATCTTCCTCATCGTCTATGTGAGCATACAAATATTCTTTAAGCAATTTAAACATAGCGAAACCATATGGACCCTTCAAATTCTCCATGGCATATTCGTTATGGAACACCTCATCCGTCATTTTCCTTCCGCTCAATCCTGTTCCTGTAATTGCATCGCCGAATAGCTCTATTCGAAAAAGCCGCTCTATCTCTGGAAACAATAGTCTGCAAACGCCACGATAAAGTCCACTTTCGTGGGCCACAAGCGCCTCAACAAAGGTGGACTTTGACTCGTCATTAATTTCGTACTTTTCTAGTCGGTATTCCATCTCTCGTCGAAATGCTAACCAATTATTCCGGTAATGCTCTAAGAGCAACTCCCTAAATGCATCAGGATTGCCGTTTACTTTCTGCATGTAACTCCATCGGAAATGTATCGTGGGGAAACCAGCCAGATTCGTGCAGGAACTCGGGCAATCGGAGCCAGTAAAGAACTCCTTGTAACCAAGGCTCAATTGCCTGCATAGATATTTGGATGTTATGAACTATCGTTCCGAGTTGCTTTCCGAATTCGGAGTTCAAGAAAGCAGTAAACAATTCCGCCAGTCGGGCACTCAGTTCCTGAAGGTCTTTCAGTGAATCCTTAGGCATAAATGCATCGCTGAAAGGGGTTTATCGTCTGCCATTCAACTGCCTACCCCTGCCCCCTCAACTCATCTATCTGCGCTTCCAGGGTTTGGACGGTGTTCGTGTCGCCGTCGGCGAGGCGGAAGCAGCGGTCAAGGTATAGCTGGGCCAGGCGGGAGCCGCGGCCGGTGGTTTCTTTGGCGGCGGCCAGCAGGTTCATCACCTGGAAATCTTCGGGCAGGTGGCGGGCCAAGGCGTTTATCTCCTCGGTTATCTCGCCGGTCATATTGTCGTCACGGCCCTCCTGGGCGAACTGGAGCTTGCCCAGCAGATTTGACAGTTCCGCCAGCTTGTCCCGTTCGCTCATGAGGCCGAGCAGCACCTCGCTTACCGAATAGGAGTTATCCGACCCGGTATCGGTTTCGGTTTGCTGGGGAGCGGCGGCGGGAATGCTCTCGGCGGTCGGGGCGCTCGTAAGCCCCTGCCGGTCGTAGTAGTCGGCGCAAAGCTCCGAATAGGACTGCACCGCGTCGGTGATGCCCTCCATCATGCGGGGCAGGTCGAAGGAAAACATGCTGGAGCCGAAGACCAGGTCGTCCTGGCGCAGGTCGCTGAGGTGTTCCAGTTCCCTGTGGCTGCTTACCTCCTCGGGCACCGGCGGCATGGCAAAGCAGGAGAAATCGTTGAGGGGCAGGTTGCCCAGGTGGGAAGCCAGGAAGGGGGGCACATATTTGCCGAAGTCGGCCTTTACCGGAAGGACGACTATGTAGCTGGCGTATAGCTTGTCGGGCTCAGTGTCCACCCGGAAATATACGATGGCGTGGCCCCGGGGATGCTGGGAGTCGCCTCGTTCAAAGGTCAAGTCCATTCGGTCGTCCTGTTGTTGCGGTTTTGGCTTTTTGCCGGTCATGGCGAATTATAAGACAGCCGCAACAGATTGTTGTTGATTTGATTATAGTTTATGGGTGGATACAGAAACAAACTGGGGGTTGACCACAGGGCTTCTTCGCGGGAGCGGGACGAGAGCCTGGACGGATAGGGGAATGGGGTAGCCGGCAAATGATTTGAATAGGGAAACCTGCTATGAGTATATAATGTCGTGCCTACCTGAATGAAGAGAGAGGTTCTGAATGGGCTTCGGCAAACGTCTGTTGACGATGGCGCTGGTGTGCGGCGTCCTGGTGGTTGGGCTGGTTGCCTGTAATGGGAATGAGGCAGCCACCCCGGCCCCTCCACCACCTACACCGAACATTCAGCCTGATTTGGGTTCACAAGTCCCGGAGGTCTTGCCCTCATACACACCCGTTCCCACACCTGCTCCGGTGGCAATTGCACTTTCCACAAAGGCGCCAATTATTAGCACTGTTCCCACACCCGTTCCCAGTCCTTCGCCCAGCCCTACGCCTACGCCCGTTCCCACTCCGGCGCCAGCCCTACTCCCACGTTCATCCCGCTTCCGGAGGCGCACCTGGAGGTGAAACTGGAGCCGGCAGGCGGTGAGCCAGTAAACGGTGCGGAATGGCGGATTGACTTCACGATAACCAACCGGTCACAGTTACCCGCCTTTGAGGTTCTCCTGGATTTGATTGCTGGCGGCCGGGGGAGGGTCGAGGCCACCCACCTGGCTCGGGGAGAATGCGAGGGATCGACCTGCCGGGTCAGTTCTTTTGACGGGAATGAGTCGGTTACGGGGCACGTGGTCGTAGTTCCTGAAACGGGATTCGACCGGCGCCTGAGAGTTGATGCCGATGTTTCCTGGGAGCTGAGCAATTCCAGAAGGAGGCATTCCTACGGCGAAGCGGCAGCCAGTGTGAAAGACGGAGGCCGACCCGGGGACTTGATCTGGCTGACTTCCACTGAGGCGAATGGCGATAGCTGCGGCGAAAGGACCCAGGTAGGTCCGGAGGCAGTGTATGCCGGCTTTTCCAGGAAACTTTATGCAGTTGCCCGCGACAACGGGGAGGTCCTGTGGGTACATGAAACGGACGACGCGATATTTGACCCTTATCTCGCCGATGGAAACATTTACTACAGCTCGAGGAGAGGGGAAACGCAGGATGAGGGGCGCAGGTATTTTATCCGCGGGCTGAACGCGAAGACGGGTAAACTGAACTGGGAGAGCGAGATTGACGGGCAGATCAGGGGGCCGGGAGTGCTTTACGGAAACAGCATTTTCTATACCGTAAATGTCCCGGGGACAGAGTCCAGTCCGTGGTACCACTACCTGCTGGCGCTTGAGGCTTCGACCGGAATCATGAACTGGCGCTATCGATTGGATGAGAACGTCAATACGTCGGCCGTGGAGTATGACGGCGATATTTACTTTGGCACTTACGGACAGGGCCCCGACTTCCTCTACGCCATTGACGCCAATTCAGGAAAATTGAACCGGAAGTACGAAGCGCCGGGCGGGGCGTACTACACGCCCCTGGTGGCAGCAGGATCTGCTTACACAGTCTCGGGAAACGAATCTCTCAGAGCGCTTAACCTGTCGGAAGGGCAGGAGAAATGGACATACCGGCAGGTCGGCAGGCCGTCCCGCACGCCGATATTGTCCAATGGCCACGCAATTTCTGTCATTTATGACACAGTTGAGGGAGAGCATCTTTCCATGGACGCCATTGATGCCTCGACAGGCGAGCTTAAATTGAGCTATCGGCCCGGAGAACGCGTCACCCTGCCAACGGCGGCGGGCGGCAGCGTTTATGTACCCTCGGCAACCAGGCTGGTCTCGCTGGACCCCGAGACGGGAAGCGTGAACTGGGAAGGCGACTACTCGCATCTATGCAGTCCTGCCACCGTTGTCGACGGGGTGCTGTACGGACGCGCCATCATTGGCAACGACTTGTCATCTACGCCATCCGGGGGGAGTAGGGTCAAGCGAATAGAGGGGTTCACGATGATCGCTTTGAATCCTGGCCATTGGTGGCGGCGCTGTCAGGCCTGCTGATGTTCGCGCTGTTGGGTGCCCGAGTGGTGAGGAGCCTCTGTCCCCTCACTCGGCACTGTCGGTGATCTTGGAACCCGCCAAAGATTCGATTACTGCGGGTGAGGAACTGCGGGTCGAATTTACCGTTACCAACCAATTGCCGAAACCTGCCTTCGATGTCACGCTGCAGTTTGAGGTGGACCGGCCTGGGAAGTTGGTGGCAGTGAGCTCTTCTCGCGGGGATTGTAGAGGCTCGGTCTGCGAAATTAGTTCCTTTGACGGCCATGAGTCTGTAATCGGCCATGTCATTGCAACCCAGGGCCCGAGCTTCGATGAAGAGACTGAAATCAAGGTCGATGCTAACGTCTCCTGGCTCCTGGTTGACTCTGGGAGAAGCTACTGGGAAGGTCATGCAACAGCACAATTAGTGGACGGCGGCCAGCCTGGAAGTCTTATCCCGAATCCACCGAAT